CGGCCGCCGCGGGGCGGAACCGTCGCCGGGGCTATTTCTGGGCCGCGGCCTCCGCGGTCGGTCACGTGCCGCCGGCCGGCTCCTCCCGACGCGTCTAGTCTAGCCTAGCCGCCCGGCTTCGGCTCCGCCCGGGTCCCGTCGGCGTCGGCCTCCGGTGGCTACCCAACACCGGACTTGCGGGCAGTCGGACATCACCAGTCCCTGGAGATCTGAAGCCACGACCGGTCGCGTCATAAAGAGCCATTCGTACAGTTTATGCTGTTGGCTCTGGTTCTAAGAAGGCACTTCCAAGTCGCTGGGTAGTACCACCGCAAAATGACCCTGGCATCTAGATGCAAGGAACAAGGGCGAGGACCGGGATAAGTGGAGGAAAGAAAGGGTTAACTTGACTCATCTACTACCCGGGCTTCCAATCTCTCCTTTCCAATACTTCACTCTGCCCTACAGTGCCTTTTTCTGTGTGTAGCAAAAGATTATCCGCAAGGCAGTCGTTTGCTGCTTCTTCCAAAATCAGCGTGCCAGAGCCTAGGAAAGGAAGGGTGTATTCTAGACAGGAAGCCCCCTTCCTCCACGTAGAAAATCCTACAGCTGTGTGGAGCTCAGCCAGAAGCAAAGCCAGAACTGTGGCTGACAGCCCTTCTCCAGACTCCTCTAGGACACGGAGGCAGCCAGAGGCTTCGCACAGAGGGGCCATGCGGCCTTGTGTGATTGATACTCAAGCCTCTGGGATGGCTTCATTCGTTGACGAATAGAAAGGTCAGTTTTTCCTGGGCAGTGGTACCGCACACCCTTAATCCCAGCACTCGGGAGGCAGAGGCAGGCGGATCTTTGTGAGTTCGAGGACAGCCTGGTCTACAAGAGCTAGTTCCAGGAGAGGCTCCAAAGCTACAGAGAAACCCTGTCCAGAAAAAACAAAAAAGAAAAAGAAAGAAAGAAAGAAACAGAAAAAAGAAACAGAAAAAAGAAAAGAGAAAGAAATGTCACTTTTGCAAGTAGCCTAAATTTACTGGCACTAAACAACTCCATTTGGCCTGGGATACCGCTCAGTTGGTAGAGTGCTTGCCCATCATGCCTGAAGCCCTGGGTTTGATCCCCATTCCCCGTGGTCGAGTCCTTCCTCCCCATCTGCCCCGCCCCACATAAACCCAGGCTTGGTGTTAGATCTGGATTGATCCAGGCAATATGGATATAAAGATACACACCTCTACAGAAGCAGAATTGTGCTTTAATCAGAAGCAAGTAAGCAAGCAACCTCTCAGGGGAAGTGGAGACTGTGTACCCAAGCACAGGAGGCAACTGGCTTTATGGGGCACGTTGAGAGAGGGAAGTTTTTTCTATAGATTTTTTTTTCTTTGTAGTTTCAAGGCCCAGCAATGCTGGCAGATGTTCTCATTACAGTATTGACTTTCTTGCCAGACAGGTGTTCTTATCAGCATGCTGAGTCTGGAGTTTCTCAGCTCTTCTGAAGTTCCTTATTGTAGGTCATTAACCCTTCAGTGTCATGTGCCCTTAATGCTAGGTAAGAGGAAGATCAGAAGTTCAAGAATATCCTGAGCTACCTAGAAAGTTCCAGGACAGCCTGCGTTACATGAGACCTTCTCTCAAATAAACAAAACAAAAGCCAGGGGGCTGGAAAGATGGCTCAGTGGTTAAGAGCATTGCCTGCTCTTCCAAAGGTCCTGAGTTCAATTCCCAGCAACCACATGGTGGCTCACAACCATCTGTAATGGGGTCTGGTGCCCTCTTCTGGCCTGCAGACATACATACAGACAGACAGACTATTGTATACACAATTAATTAATTAATTTTAATAGAGCCAGGGACTTCTTGTTGTTTGTTGGTTTGGTTTTTTAAGACAGGGTTTCTCTGTGTAGCCCTGGCTGTCCTGGAACACACTCTGTAGACCAGGCTGGCCTCAAATTCAGAAATCTACCTGCCTCTGCTTTCTGAGTGCTAGGATTAAAGTTGTACACCACCACCGCCCTGGCCAAAAGCCAGTTTTACGATGTATTTGTTTCTGTATTTTATGTATACGGATGTTTTGTCTGCGTGTACATCTGCATACCAGAGGAGGGCAATGGATCCCTTGGACTACAGTTATAGATGGTTGGGAGCTGCCATGTGGGAGCTGGGATTTGAACTCAGGACCTCTGGAAGATCAGCCAGCGTTCTTAACTGCTGAGCCATCTCTCCAAGTCCCAAGAGCCAGTTTTAACAAGTCATTCTAAAGTCCTCTGGTGTCTTTCATAGCTTTCCACATCTGACTAGTGGGTCTTCCCATTTTTCCAGCAGATCTTGGTTACCATCCCGCTTCGCTCCTGTTCAAGTCAGATGGAAGGCACTCGACCCTGAAGCGGCCCCTCATGGTGAGATTTCCAAAGAAAGGCCTACGTAGAGAACAGCTCTAGAACCCTGGAGTCAAAAACGCAGGCCCCAAGATAAACTTGTAATTCATTAAATTCCCCAGAGTAGCAGGAACTTTGTGTCTAGCAGGTGCAGGCTTGTAGAGGACTACTTGTCTGGACTGAACTGATCAAGAAGTAGCCCGTGTGGACAGGTCACAGGTCCTATCCAGTATCTCCTTTGTGTCAATATCTCCCCTTGATTCAGCATCCGAGGACAGCCAGTTCTGTGTGGGCAGATTGGAGGCAGGCGACAGTACTCAGCTGGGGCACAATGCCTCCTCTATGCCCAGGTTGGCTTAGCTGGGAACAACTGTTAGACGCAGCTGCGGACACTTTGGCCAAGGCTTTGCTCTGCTTTCACTGGCACCTACATAGCAAATAGCAAATAGGATCTGACCCTCCATCCCCAAGTGTGTCCCTTCGAACGCCAAGGTGTGCTTTCTGTTTATTACCTCCTGTGGAGTGAGGGTGACTCACAAAGCTGCAGTGCGTGCGGTGCCGAGAGGACTATGCCCAGCAGGCCGTGCGCAGACAGGACGCCCTCTAGTTCCCTTGGTGGTTTCAACGCTCCTCCCGTTCTCCACTCTTCTGGGTGTCTGAGAGGCATGGGTGATTTCTAGGTTTCCTGATGAGGTCTCCTGCGTGAGCTTTTCCTGAGAATCACTCCAACCTGTTTGTCCTCTCAACTCACGGACCCACCAAAACCTACCTCAGTCCTTACTCCCTGGAGTTAAGTTTCCTGGAGGGGGCTATAGTTTGGGGTTTAGTTCTTCTTGTTGCTGCTGTTGTTTGTTTTAAAGACAGGATCTTGGACAGCCCAGGGTGGCCTCAAACTCACTATGTAACTGAGACTGGTCTTGAACTCTGAGTGCCTTGCCTCAGCCTCCCAGGTAGAATGACAGGCCTGTGCCACCACATCTGCCCTCGTTATAATAAAGTCTGGCTCTTTGCCTTCTGTGGTGATACTGTCTGCAACCAGACAGGCTCACAGGTTTATTCTCTTCCTCACACACATCTCCCCCTGGAGACTTTGACAGGACCTCATGAAAACCAGATCCCCATGATCAGACCATGGACATGCACAAGGCTGTAGGCCAAAGGAGGAGAGATGACCACTGGAAAACAGGATGTTCGGGAATGGTGGCTCCTAAGTAGCTCCCAGGCTTTTAAGGGCATAATGTGCTCTCTTCTATTCTGCTTACTTTGTGACAGGCTCATTATATTAGTCAGGGTCTTGCAACTGAGGCTCCCAAACCTTACAGAGGAAGTTTGTTTAGCTCACGGTTTGAAAAGCTGAAAGTCTGGCCAGGCAGTGGTGGTACACCTTTAATCCCAGCAGTCAGGAGGCAGAGGCAGGAGGATCTCTGAGTTCTAGGCCAGCCTGGTCTACAGAGCTACAGAACTAGTTCCAGGATAGCCAGGGCTACACAGAGAAACCCTGTCTTGAGGAGAGAGAGAGAGAGAGAGAGAGAGAGAGAGAGAGAGAGAGAGAGAGAGAGAGA